GCCCTCCCACACAGAGAGAGAAGGATGAACGGTGACTTTATCAGAGACACATAAAACAAATAGATTTATTAAATAGAGAAAAAGAGTCCCTGCTTAAGTGAGTTTTGTGTTCTTCTGGGAACGTGCAGCTGATGAGGTCGTGAGTTTCCTGGCTTGGTTTTGGCATCGCAATCATGCACTTCTGACCTCGCCGGCGTACTTATAAACCCTTTAGCATCATTTCCTTGAAAACTACTTCTTCATCTTCATAAGCTAAATGACTCAGTTGCCTGAAGCTAATATCATTCAAGCTGCATCATTTACAGAGATGGTTTTCTCTTTCTGCATGCCGATCAGACACAAGAGCTGCAGCTCGACTTCTACTCGGACTCGCATCATGTTTCATTTTGAATTTGAAAGACTTTTCCAGACAGTTTCATCCAGAGTACTTTCCTCTTGCATACACTCGGTGTCTTGCATATTCATTCCTTACTTGTTTTTCTTCCCTTTAGCAAAAACACAAGATGCTTCAAAACAATCACAATACTTTGACTTTACCATTCAACACACATGCTCGGAGAACCCATCTGGCAAAATATACACGGTTGAAGAACATGAAACCTTTGGACGTGTGCCACGAAGGTTTAGCAATGTTAGTTGTGTCTACACAGAAAACTATGAAGCTGCAATTTTAATGTCTTGATCAGCTGTCTATGGCTTTGATTTACTCTATACGTATGCTACATGTATGTAAACATGACCCAAAGTAATTTTCATGATTCAAGTCTGTTTTCTCACATTTTGCATGTTTAACGGCAGCGATTGCGCCTTGAGCTCACACAGATGGCCCACACTTAACACTGTGCCTGAACTCATCGTGTGTGGACACACCGAAGCAGCTGCTCCTCGACTAACGTGCTGCTCAGACTGCGTCTCCTGCACAGACGAGGTGTAAGGATCGCACTGTGTAGTCTGTCAGTTGGTCCATCTGTTGGTCACAACACATTTGGCTGAAAAGAATCTGTCAACGATGACTGCAACACATTTTTGGCACAGACATTCCCTAACTTTAGGAGGTTGGCTGTGATGACTTCAGGGATTTTTCCTCCAGTGCAACAAACATGTTTTTTAATTTGAGATAATCATTATTAGTTATTCTCGACTCAGCTACTTCACCTAATCTTCAATGATGAGAAAGTTTAAGTAATTCTTGTACTTGGATATTCCTTCATATGTGTTGTTCTTAACAAAGGAATTACATTTATGTTATGGTCTTAAAAAGGTCCTAATTTAACTTTAACATAAACCCAGATGTTTACTGTTTACTCAGCTCTTCTAGTCATAATTTTTCTGATACACATTCTAAATCTGCTTCTATGGATCCAGCCGTTGTCCAAGGCCTCATTTACAGTTCTGTGTTTGTAACGCTCCAACAGACCTCGCCGTCTACAGGAGTTTGTTTTTTTTAAAAGACTTCCAAGTCCACTGCTGACATTAGTGTCCCAGTGCCTTGTCTCATATGAAGCCTAATCAATACAGTACCGTGTTAGATTGGAAACTTGAGGCTGTGTCTACAAGAATCTATTGATTTCCTTCTTTTTCCCCTGTTCCCTCCTCCTTTTCTGCCGAAGCTCTTCCGCTCAGGCCAGGATCAAAAGATTTTACCCTTCAGCAAGGTTTGAGGTGTTCGGTTCCAGACTGAGCCCCGCTGCTTTGTTCTCGGAGAAGGACACGGCCTGTTGGGGATTTGTGTTTTCATTGACCTTGTCTCATCTTGGTACATTTGATTTTGTTATGGGAACTATATCCAAAGAGATTTATGGGGATATTTTAGTTAAATATAGATGGAATGAAGTTGTTGTTGGTTTGGGAGAAAAGGCTGAATACTTTGTGTGAGAGAGCTTATTCGAATTCAGTGGTTGCTGTCAGCTTGCATTGTCTATTATATTATGCATCGGGGACTAAACTTAGATCAGACTTAAGGTCCTTTAGGGTGTAAGAACATCTTTATACTCCATGTCTCACAGACTTTTATTTTTCCTTGTCCAAACCAGACATTTGAAGACCCCTCCCCGTGCAGCAACATGTCAGCTGGCCTCTTAATTCACCCCACTGTTTCAAATTGACTCATCCAGCTGTGGGACCGTTGGCAGAATAATTCTAACAGCAGCCATATCATCAGGTTGCCAGTCGTAATCGCAGACTGGCACACCATGAGCCAAGCAAATCATTTAGTTAAAGGTGACCACATTTGAGTCCCTCTGAGGGGTTTGTGATTGGATGTGAAGTGGGGGGGGGCGGTGATTCATCATAGTTAATAAATACAGTTGACAGCTCAAATCAGCAGGAGGGAGCATGTGCCAGGTCTGCCTCCTGCCACTGCTTTCTACTGCATGCAAATGTGGACGATTAACTTTTTACACATACAGTTGCAGGCACCTACACAGGTAGAGGACTGATTGATCCAAAGGTTTCTATGTAGAAACATGGATGATATATTTTATTAGTTTTTGAGATATGCCCATTTTTCTCTGGTGCTACATTAACAGATCAGAATATTTAGTAGCGCACGTTACGTGATAACATCATCACCAGCATTTAACTTGATGAGGCAGAACACACAAACCTTTCTGCTGCAAAAACAATTAATCCCCCCTTTTTTTTTACATCAAATTAAACAACAATCTCCCGGTCATGTGTTTTGCTCAGCTGGTCGTGCAGGCTGACCAGTGGCAGGTGTGTCCAAGTCACGGCCTTGTGTTAAACTGCTGCTCTAAGCCCTCAGCTGCACTCAGTTAACTCCCAGGATTAGCTCGTCCATAGGCTCCAAACGTCAGGGCTTTCAGTGATGCTGTTGTGTCTTAATAGAATTTCATACCTTGAGCTATACAGTTTCATTCTTTCATAGAAGTGGATTAGTAGAGATATGCTTCTTCCTCTTCTGGAAATAGCTGACATGTCTTAATTCTAAGTCTAAGATGCCAACAGAGACCAAATTAGCGTTGCGTTCTTTGTAGATTAGTGAAATATCCTTCGACTGATTGTTTCAACGTATATTTTGTCATTTACACAACAGAGTAAGATGACTAGTAAATTGAAAGCTTTACCTTGCATTGTGTCTGTAGTGAAAAGTGTATATTCTGTATATATCATCGTTATATTTTTATTTCTCTGTTTGTTCTCATTCACTTGCTCTTTTGTTAACCCCTTTAATAAGAGTGTCCCCGGGGTGAGATCTTATCTTTTTACGTGTTTTTACTTACTCTCTACTTTACCAGCCAGGACTGTTAATTTACTGAATGTGGTGGTTCCAAATCCGTGCAGCCATGTGATGCCATGGTTGTTAAACTAATGGAGTGCAGTGTTTATTTTTGTCACCACATCTGGTTGTTTCCTGTCGAATTGCAAAGCACTGCTTTAGTTTTGTCGCAGTCTTGATTTCCCGAGTCATAAAAAACTAACTCCACACTTTCATGACTGTTGCACACATGAAATAAAAAAAGATTAAAATGTGTTGTCATGATGCTATTTCATATACTTGCTTCATTGGGCCCACGTTTATTCTGTACGCTGGTGCAATCGGCTTTCATCCAAATTGTTGAATATGTGGCGGTGTAATTGTCACATGTGTCAGTAGCACATTCCGGTTTCCATTGCAGACGGTGGCTGATGCATCTGAAAATGATTTGGTTGTTGATTATCATCCACAGCTTTTTAGTGATGTGGCTTCACACGGTTATTTAGAAAACACTTTTCCAGTTCATTGCGATTTTCAAATAACTTTTTGGCTTTCTTGTAGAACAGCAGGATAAATATTGTTCTCTGGCTTAGCATCTTTTCGAAGGTCCCCACTGGTCGATTGGAATTTACACTCTGTCCCCCGTGACCGTGTTTGTCAACAGCCCCAGTGCGTCTGATTAAAGCCGTGTCTCTAACTAACAAACGCCTCTCTTTGGAGAATAATAGCTTTACCCCTGTTCTCTCTTTCTTCTCCCTTTGTGCATCTCCTTTTGATCACAGAACAGCAGCATCCCTGAAAAGCAAACACAGCTTTAAACAGGCACACACATGAAAGCCAAGAGCGCTGACACACACACACACACACGCACGCACATGTGCAAGAATGCATGCGCCCGCTGGCACCCAAAAACACACAAACAGTATCCAGCTGAGTTCTTGTTCCGTGCCAGTCTTGCTCTCAGAGATGTTAAATGAGGGCACTGATACATAAATTTGCATTTGTTTCATCAACAACTGTCCTCCTAACTAAAAATCTATAACTGCGTGCCCCCAATTTGCCAGGCAGCTTCAGATGCATCTATTCTGGGCTCGCTTCATGAGAGTCTCGCACAGCGTTTGATCGATTTCAGTTGTGTGTACACACTCTCTTCACACACAAGTGGGCTATATCGTGATCTTTCCCAAGTTTGTCGAAGAGTAATCTATGAAAATGCAGCACAAATTGTTCTTTGTTGCAGCAGTGTTTTTTATTTTCAATTAGAGCACAGGCAGCTCCGGCCCGAGTGTTATATAAGGGTTTATAAGAACAATGGGAAAGTTGTGGAGCTTGTGAAAAACCTCTCAGCTGGTTTAGAGCATGATTTGGACCAGTTGGTGCTTTCTTGATTGACATTGACACTAAAAGAGCATTGGGCTTTTACTGACAATGTCTGCTGCAGATAAGAACTATACTCCCTCAGTGATGTTACAGACAAAGATTCCTCTCTCCCTCTTCTCTTCTGTAGCATACTTGGCTCATCTTACAGTTCTTCGGGCATCATTAGAAACCTTGCTCCCGTGTACCTCGTGTGCCTTTACCTTTGCCTTACCTGGAAAACACCCAGAATGTGACTTCTGCCCTTTAGCTGAATGATCTGAATGCTATCTTTTCCGGTTCTTTGACCTTTCCCCTTTTCACCTGAGTAACATTTGGAGATTTGACCTCCCTGTGACCTTTATGCTCCCCGATGACCCCTGATGGCTGTTGGTTGGTGGTCCTGAATGAAGCGCATCTCTTGCAGAGGGTGGGGAACCTTGGAGCAGCTCCGCAACCTCGGCTCCAGGCAGGGGGGGCGCCCAGGGCAGAGAGCCCGTTCTGGGCCGCGGGAGCCCCTCCTCCACGGAACTTCTGGACCCCAGTAGAAACAGGAGAGCTCATCCCAATTGGGCCATACTGGGTAACGACATAGAGCTGTGTTTGTCTGTGTGTGTTTCATCATGCATGATTGTTTTCTTAAGATTAAGTTAGACTCGCACCCACAAAATGTAAATAAAGATGGACGATATAACAGGTCCCCGAAAGTGAAGCCAAGGTGTCTTAATTACCTCCTAGTGGCTGGCTGGGGTATAGGTCATGAACCCTGCCTCCTCCATGTTAGTAAATGGACCAAACTAAAGAAATCTCAGTAGGCTATACTTAAAACTATTCTTCCAAAGATGGTTCATGTCATCTCGGGTTGTTTCTATCAGGCTGATTGATTGAAGTGCAATTTTAATTTAAAAAAAGAGAAAACTGACAGCAGAGACTGACCCTCGATCACTTCTGCACTGACTCTGGCTCCAAAATGATGGAATCTCAGATTGCTCTGTTCATATCTGTGATATTTTAGCTTCATTTATAGATAGGGGAAGGAAGGGGAGACCTGGCGTCCATCTTTATTTACAATCTATGGTCAGAACAGAACATGGTTCAGACAGTTTATGTGACAGAATTTAAAATGAAATGGCAATAACAAGATAATTTATTGCATCTACTCCAGATATGTTTGTGGTTGAGATATGAGACTGGCTTTGTTGAAATCTGTTGAACTGGTCACTCGTATTTTAGCCTCCTTGGGATCAGATTTAGACGAGGTTATAGATTTTGAGTCCACTGGGACAATCTGAGAAAGGGGTCGGTCTGTTGGCCTGTCCGTCCGTTTGTCTGCTCACTCAGCTTTGTCATAGAGGGTTGACATGTCCTTCAGAGTTCCTACAGCAGATGTGCTCTCTGTTGAACAAACCCTGGAGAAGAGACAGAGGGATGGAGTGCGGCGAGAGACGGAGAGAAGTGTGGGTGGTTGAGGGAGTGGAAGAAGTAGAGGATATGTCATATTTTGATATCCCCACTGTGCCGTTTTGTCTTGAATTTCCATTTTAGAGGGCAGTCAATGTCCGTGTCTGCTGCATGAGTTTTATGGCCAAAAACAGCTTATTGCAGGCTGTGATGGTGCAAAGGAAATATTTCATTTGGCATCACAACCTGCTGGAATGTCTTTGTCAATAAATCAGACGGTTATTTTGCAGTTTATTTCGTAATTTACATTTTGTTCCAGAAATACATTACCCCCTGAGTGCACACACAGACATAGGCATGTCGTATTAATAGATTATTTTTGCAGACAGGAGCATCTCTCAATAACTAACGCTCGTATACAAACACACCATCATGTGTGGGTGCAGTATGCTTGTGAACACAAGTGGCCAAAGAAGCAAACACAGAAATGCACATTCACGAGCAAGCACACAGGTTTTCTCCTGCAGCCGGTGCTGAAGGGGGATTACATCAACAGGATTGTGAGGTTGAATCATACTGAATTGTGGGTTCTGACTCCAACCATCATCCCTCTTGATTGGATTAGGAGCGTTTCCACCTGTTTAATGCATATTTTCAATCTGGGAAGAAAACACTTGAATGAAATTGTCCCTTCAACTCTACACCAAATCCGTCACGTTCATTTGGACATAGTTCTAAGACTATTTAAGACACATATAAACTCTACTGAATCTACACATAGCTGCACATTGGTGCTAGTTACAGGTTCCTAGGAAGACATTTATGTAAAGCTCAATATGTTGCTGTGCCACTTCGTCTGTACAGTGTGTGTGTGTGTGTGTGTGTGTGGGTTAGAGTGAGTGAGTATTTTGCCAGTGTTTCCTGATAAGCTGGTGTTCAGATTAATTAAAAACTCCAGTCCCTGTGTTCCCCGACAGGAATATGGATGCTGCTGGAGAGGCTTAACTATAAACACCGTTTCACCAAAACTGTCATTTAAAAAGATTCATCATCTCAGGTATAATAATTGTTGTTTAAGGCGTGTTGGAGAAGATTTATGGTGAAGAGTGCAGGCTGGCAGAAGTGCAATGGGTCAGTTTATTACACATCAACTGCAGCTTTTATACTGTTTGATAAACCAAATCGTTGCCAGCATTGATGTGTGCACATGCGTGTTTCCCTTTACCAGAAGTCTGCACTTGAAGTGCATGGGGAGTGTTCTATCTTCCCACTATTGTGTGTGTGTGTGTGTGTGTGTGCACGTGTGTTTCTTATTTCTGGAAGTCTTTACTTGGGATGTGAGTGCATGAACATGTCCTTTTTTGGATAGATAAGGATACAAGTGGGAATTGGTTTTCCCCTATTTCAGCCCACTTCAAGTCCCAACAAGTTATACAACATTGTTCATTCACAGGTCGAGCTCATCCAACTAGGCGCCGCAGTGAGGATGTGAAACAGAGGACATAAATGGATTGTCTTTTTTTACACTTTGATGAGTATCACTTGTTTCACGTTACGGGCATCTGTCAAACATTATTGTTATTGTGCATTTAAACCATAGACTGTTAAACAAACGGATGTAGACTCTGGGTTCAGAAAGTGAAGCCAAGATACTAGTATCTGACAGCCTGAATGACCAGCAGGGGGCGACTCCACTGGCAGTTTCTATAGAAGTCTACGAGAAAATGACTCTACTTCTCACTTTATAACGTCAGTAAACATTTTCCTTTGTGTCTCAATCTCCAGTTTCAAGTCTTCTTCAATACAGCTGATGTTCATTTAGTAAATGTCAGAGTCAAATAGAGCAGAAAGCACCGTGGGTATTGGGGGCGTGGATACACAGAGCGTGATGACAGCTAGTACCGTCCAATGGGCGTGTAGGTGGGCGTGCAATGTCCTTAAGCGCTCAGTCACGCCTAAAATATGGTTACTTCAGGTTAAAAAACAAGATGGCACCGGACGTAATGCCAAATTTATAGCTTCAAAACAGCAGCTCACAAATGTCTAGAGATTAAAAAAAACTAAAACTGCAGCTGCCTTTCTTCCAAACTGTTTCAAAATCTCCCTCCATTAACAAACGACACATCATGAACAGTTTACGTTGTTTCCAGAGGCCTCGTGATTGTGTTACCCAGGGTTCATGATCAAAAGCGCATAAACAGTAAACATTACTCTTACCACAGGCAAAACCAGCTGGGTACATCGACGATTATGATCCAACAGGATGTTTCATACAAGTCAGACTCTTTTAATATCATAAAATTGAACCACTGGTTTGGATCATAGCTCAGAAGTGTCTCTAATCTCAGTTAGGACGCCCTGACACACAATTGTGAAAAGATGGTTTAATGGTGCAACCCTTTGAGAGAGCGATACGTTTTAAACTGCATCGTCCACCTCCAGCAAAATTATTTTTTTCCTTTCCAGAATATCTGCGATGTGGAGAACGGCTTCATGTCAGATTAAAAGAAGATGCCCGCTGGAGAAGCGGCCTCACTCTGAGCTTTTTTGTTTCCCAGGCAGGTCGAAATGTTTTCTTAAGCCGAGAACTGTGCAGCTCTTCAGTGAAAGGATGTGAAACGTCGTGTTTTCTTCGAGGAAGCATTTCAAAAGAAGTGTTTGAGTTCTACAGTCGAGAATCGAAGTGAAAAAAGGCGGAGGAACAAAACACAGTTGTATTTTTTCACAGAACTGACAAAGAACATGAAGTATTTAATAGTTCATACACGGGGCATGTGTTTTCATGATGTCGGTATAGATTTAGATATAGATTTTACATTTTTAACTTCTGAATTCTGGCTCCAGCTCGGCCCACGACCATCAAGAGGATACCTGGTATAGATAAAAAGTTTCTTAGAGTCAACAGAGCAGATCAAGTCAACCTCTGGCAGCAGTTAAATGTATGTAAAAACCTGTTCCTGATTATTCTCTCTTTACCACCCAGAACATAATGTCACCATCTTGCTGCCTCGTCAGCTCCGCAGATTTGGCCACCGACCCGCTGCCTTTCGGATGAGCTGTTATCATTTAAATGACTCAGACAAAAATCTCCTTCTGAACCAAATGAGTCATGACTGTGTAAAAGAGAGAGAGAGCTTATTTCAAATCAGCGTTCAGAGAAGCTTATGAGGGGCCACGCCCAGAGCTTTTTATACTTTCACTCCATTCTTACAGCCTCAATGGAAAACACTGATGATTAATTAGAAACAGAGCTGTAAGGTAAATATATTATTTAGCTCTGTTTGAGTAGGCACATTTATTACTGCAATGCCTGAGACAAATATTACTAATCTGCATAAAATAAGCGTGGCGTACAGGGAGGAGGGATACATGAGAGATGTCCTGATTAAAAAGGTGAAGCCGTCACACACACGGGAAGATTAAATATTTCACAGTGTTTTAAAGCCACTCTATGACATTGAACGTCATTCAAACTGTGACAGTTACTGCGGGATATTCATTTTCCTGGTGTGAAGCAGGAGGAAACACGACAAAGTCATAAGACACAAAACCTGGACATTATCGTTGTTGTTTATAATTCATGAGAGAGACATATGTGTTTCCACTGAGGAGGCACAATAAGTGTACATCAAGATCGCAGTGATGTTAAGATTCAGGCTGAAAATAAAACATGGAACATGTATGAATATACTTATAATTAATTTTTAATGACAAAAATGGGTATTTATTTTTTATAAGGTATGTTTTATATATAATCTATTATTTATTTAAAATCTGCAACACATATTTCTATGAAAATAATTATAATAGTGATAATGAGGCAGAGGAATATAAATAAGACATGCACAGAAAACATATAAGAAGTTAAAGAATTACAGAAAATGCCAGAGGCAAATTCACATAACAAGGCAGGGTCAATAACGTGGCATTACAATGTTTGTTTTAACCCATGACGCGTGTCCGCTCGTCCGCCTGCTCACTTCCCCCTGTCGTATTTGTTCGAGCGGAGCAGCACAGGTCATTGAGCGTGGCGTGAGCCTCAAAGGAGCGAGATACTAACCCCACAGGTTACCGGCACTGAGCTGGAAACGCCTCGCAAAACATCACACCGACTGTTCGCACATCTGCATTCGCACTCGTGTGTGTTTCCTACACATGCACGCTAAAAAGAAACAATAATGA